AAGGTTGAAAGTGCCAATCCAATTGGCTTTAGCATAGTGCATTTCCACATAGTCTGGCTTGGTGGCGAACTTTACATTGTGTGTTTCAAATACTTGGGAAAAGTATTTCTGGATGTCCTTGGATCATAGAGACCACCGATACCAGCACCTGAAACCTATTAAATTGCTGTATAACAGTTGACTAGTAGATGGCATACATACCCCATAAGTGACAAAAGGGGTTGCTGTATCTTAGAAATCTGAGAGAGTAACTTTATCTTGCCAGCATGGAAAGAGGTTCTATGGGTGTGGTGGGAAAGTATGAAAGACTCTATTACAGTCTTAGTTGCAGCGACATTTTCATCCTTCTATGACTTTGGGATAAAAGTGCTTTTCTCAGCACAGTAGAAATGATATCTGTACCTACATATTCGGTATATGGCACTTTCTAAAATCTCAGGGCAAAGACGAAGGAGACGTTACTGGTGCCTACTGGAGGAAATCGATGAACAACAGGATGACTGTGACCGTGACCGTGACCTATATATTCACTGCAGCACTGTTCACAATAGCTAAATTCTGGAAATAGCCCAAGTGCCCTAGAACAGATGACTGGTTAAAGAAACTTGGTACATCTACACAGTGGAATACTATGCAGCTGTCAGGAGAGATGAAGTCATGAACTTTGCTTATAATGGATAGATATGGAGACTATCATGCTAAGTGAAATGAGTCAGAAAGAGAGGGACAGACACAGAAGGACTGCACTCATTTGTGGAGTATAAAACAACAAAATTTGAGGCTGACACCTAAGGACATTTGATACATGGGACAGATAGATTGCTCCATAGCTGGAAGCCTGCCTCATGAGCAAAGGGGAGAGGGCAGCTGGAATAGAGAAAGGATCACTAAGAAAAAGATGGCTGGAGGAATCCTTCGGGCTGGGAGATGTGTGCAGAAAGTAGATAAAGGAACAAACATGAGAACCTCTCAGGGTCTGTATTGCAAACCATAATACTCAAAAGTAGAGAGAGAGTATGAGGAATCATGTCTCCATGGAGGCAGGGGGAGGGTGGGAAAGAGGAGGTATACCGGGGATATTGGTGATGGGGAATGTGCACTGGTGAAAGGATGGGTGTTTGATTATTGTGTGATTGTAATCCAAACATGAAAGCTTATAACTACGTCATGGTGATTCAATAAAATTTAAAAAAAGAAAGAAAAATTTTTAAAAAGGTGCTTTTTTTCCATTGGTGGTAGGAAATGTACTCTAGTGAAGGGTTGACTATTGAACTATTCCATGACTGAAACCTGATCATGAACAGGTTTTGCAATTGTGTATCTCATGGTGATTGGTTAAATAAATAAATAAATAAATAAATAAATAAATAAATGTCACAGAATTTCTGTCCTGCTTGTCTTCTGTGGACTCTTCTGATCCCATATTTATTGCTCATTATTGGAGATAGATCTTTAGAGTCACTTAAAGTAAAATGAGGTGACATAAGGGGATTAGGTGATAGTATAGAGATTCCAGGGAATCCCCTTTGTCCCCACAGTTCTACACTCAGGAAGGACCTATTGGATGAGAGGAGAGAGGGGCTTCTGCTGACAGGAGGAAGGCCTCACAGGTCTCACCCAGAGGGACCATCCCTCTCCAGCCTCCCAGAGTGTGAGAATCCTGCGTGTGGGGTGTGAGCCTGCAGCCTGTGTGTTCCTGTGAGGGAGCCTGAGCTGATGCTTCACAGCTGGCACCCTCTGAGCAGGGTCTGCCTCAGGGGCACATCACGGTAGTGGGGGGAGAAGGGGAGAGTGGGAAAGGGGGTTCGCTATTTTCTTCATCTTCAACATTTGCCTTTCTGTTTGCTGAGAAAAAAAAAGCCTTACTATTCATCCTTGACTTATTGACTAAAAGACCAACATGGCCTTTGAGATAAAACTATTGAATGTTCCAGATTTTGGCTATTGTAAAGAGTGCTGCAATGAACAAACAATTGCAGATGTCACTTCGACTATACATTTTTGCCTCTCTGAGATATATTCTCAGGAGTGCTATAGCTGGGTCAAATGGGAGATCGAATTCTAATTTTTTGAGAATCGTCCATACTGTTTTCCAAAAGGGTTGGACCAGCCTGCATTCCCACCAGCAGTGAAGGAGGGTCCCTTTCTCGCCACATCCGCGCCAGCACCTGTTGCTTTTGTTCTTGTGGATGTGGGCCAGTCTCTGTGGTGTGAAATGATATCTCATTGTTGTTTTGATCTGCATCTCTCTGATGATTAGTGATGTAGAGCATTTTCTCATGTGTCTTTTTGCCATTCGGATTTCTTCTTTGCGAAAGTTTCTGTTCATTTCCTCGCCCCATTTTTTGATGGGGTTGGGTGATTTCTTCTTGTGTAGTTTAACCAGTACCTTGTATATCCTTGAAATCAACCCCTTGTCGGATGTGTATTTGGTGAATATTCTTTCCCATTCTGTAGGCTGTATTTGTATTTTGGTCACTGTTTCTTTTGAGGTGCAGAAGCTTCTTAGTTTAAGATAGTCCCATTTGTCTATCTCTGTTTTCACTTGCTCGGCCAGTGGCGTGACGTCTTTGAAGATACCACTAACTTCAATATCGTGGAGAGTTTTGCCAACTTTGTCTTCAATAAACATTATGGATTCCGGTCTGATGTTGAGGTCATAAATCCATTTCGATCTTACTTTTGTGCATGGCGTTAGGCAGAGATCTGAGCCCACTTTTTTGCATGTAGCCGTCCAGTTTTGCCAGCACAATTTATTAAAGAGGCTTTCCCTGCTCCATTTCACTTTTCTTGCCCCCTTATCGAAGATTAGATGATTATATGTTTGGGAGGAGATGTCAGTATATTCAACTCTATTCCATTGGTCTGCAGCTCTGCTTTTGTTCCAGTACCATGCTGTTTTGATTATTACTGCTTTGTAGTAGAGCTTGAAGTTAGGTAGGTTGATTCCTCCCATTTTCTTTTTCCCAAGAATTGCTTTAGCTATTCGTGGGGGCTTATTGTTCCATATAAATTTCAGGAGTGTTTGCTCCATTTCTTTGAAGAATGTCGTGGGTATCCTTATAGGGATTGCATTGAATTTGTACAGTGCCTTGGGAAGTATTGCCATTTTGACAATGTTGATTCTCCCCATCCATGAACAGGGGATATTTTTCCATTTCCTCGTGTCCTCTTTTATTTCCCGAAGTAGCGTTTTGTAGTTTTCTTTGTACAGATCCTTTACTTCCTTAGTTAAGGCGATTCCTAGGTACTTGATTTTCTGGGGCACAATTGTGAATGGAATTGTTTTCTTCATGTCACTTTCTTCTCTTTCATTATTTGCATATAGGAAAGCCATGGATTTTTGGGTATTGATTTTATAGCCTGCCACTTTACTATACAAGCCTATTGTTTCTAGGAGTTTCTTGGTAGAGGTTTTAGGGTTCTCTAAGTATAGTATCATGTCATCTGCGAATAGTGAGAGCTTAATTTCTTCTTTCCCTATCTGGATGCCCTTAATATCTTTTTCTTGCCTAATCGCTATTGCAAGTACTTCCAGCACTCTTTACAATAGCCAAAATCTGGAAAAAACCTGAGTGCCCGAGAACAGATGACTGGTTAAAGAAGCTTTGGTACATTTACACAATGGAGTACTATGTAGCTGTTAGAAAAGATGAAGTTATGAAATTTACATACAAGTGGTACTACATGGAAAGTATCATGTTAAGCGAAATGAGTCAGAAAGAGCGGGATAGACACAGAAAGATTGCATTCATCTGGGGAACATAAAGCAACAAAACGGGAGACTAACACCCAGGAAGGGCTCAGATTAGTACCAGGAATTTTGCTCCATGACTTGAAGGCCAGCCACATGTGCTAGGTGAGAAGGAAGCTCAGATGGAGAAGAGAGCACCAAATAAAGGGTGTTGTGAAGACCCTCCCAGGGTGGGAGAGACATGCTAAAAGTGGTCTATAGACCAAACATGACTGCCACTCAATGCCTCTCTGGCAAAACACAGTACCCAAAAGAAGAGAGAGAGAACAGGGAGGAATGCCCTGCCACAGCGGCAGGGTGGGACGGGGGGGGGGGAGGAAGGGGGGTCGGAGGGATGATAGGACCCGTGGTGGGGGAGGATGGGCACTGGTGGAGGGATGGGTACTTGATCATTGTATAACTGAAACCCAAGCACAAAAATTTGTGAGTCTATAAGTATACTTCATGGTGTTTCACTAATAAAAAAAATGAAATGATAAATTAAAAAAAAAACTATTGAATGTTTTGTTTTCCGATCAGACAGTGCATCAGGATTTATCAGTCATGATCCAGAGACTCCTGAATAAATCTTGAAAGAGATCAAAAAGTTGCAGAGATTCTTCTGGACCCAATGTAAGGTTGAGTCACAAGGCGCAGCCCAGAGGAAAGTGGGTGAACCCCAGCAGTCAAAAATCTCCACATTCCACATTGGCTGCCATGCTCCTTGCAGGAGCCCACTGCTCAAGACGAGCCTCACCTAAAACCTTAATCTGTTGATAAACTCAGATATTTGGATTTTGAGACTGAACTCTAGACTTTCACAGAGTTTGGGTGGACTATCTCCTCCCATCTCCCTGTATTTCTAGAGGCCCCGGCAGTCATGCACATGACCCAAATCTCCACCCAGTAAAATATTTAACTGCAGTTGTATCATCCCATTCCAAATTTTTGACTTCATGAAGCAACATCTCAACTCCACGACACTGATAAAGCAGGAGTAGCACACCAGATTGGGTGTGAGGTAATATAGAAGACAGCCAATCTCAATTAACCAAATGTAAACACAGGAGGGTAACCTGCCACAATGTCATAGTGATCTCTTATATAAGGACTTAATGGTTGTATGGTGAGATACAAAAATCTTCACTAATTATCATCTAAGAAAACTTTTTTGATTATTCTTCTAGCAAATTATTTAAAAACAAGGTATATAAAATGAATTACTGATGGAATTCTATGGGGTCAGGCTGAAGGAGTGCTTGGGAAAATGGAAAATCATGGTGGTGGATGGTGCAATGGTGGTGAGAATGGTGTTGGAATGCTGACAGTCGGTAAGAAATCGTCATAAATAAAAGCACCGTTAGTATATAGTGTATAAGGGGAACACATCAAACTGAATGAACTAATTTCTAAGTAGTAATGTAGGGATGATCAGGTTTGCTTGTCCACTAAAATATCAGTAGAGACACTGTGTCGCCCCTTCCAGTCTCCCTGAGTGCTTCCCGAGAGGGCCCCTGTCACCTTCAGGGCCACACAGAGTCTTAGGAGCGTCTCATCCTGAGAAGAGCTCAAGCCAGTGAGGAGAGAAAGCACAGGGCTTGTGGTTTATGTCTCAGTCCACCCAGGTGATTCATGGCATAATAGTTTCCCTGAATAGATATGGGGAATTCCTGGAAGTCTCTGAGTACCATCTGGCTAACCTTGGTAGGCACAGGCAGGGGGGTGTGCCTTGGTGGTCTCCAGTAATGAAAAGCTGCAAATCATCAGTCTTACACTGAACTGGTTGGTTCAGCTGGCGAAAGTTGCCTAGAGGAACAAAATGAAATCCCAGCATTGGTGACCTGCTACAGCACCACACCCAGACACACAAATCAAATAATCAGAGAAAAATCATAATTTTATCCTTGTTACAGTTTTCTTATAGCCTGTTCTGGTGATCTGCCAGGAATGGGACAGTGAGTACAGAAACAGGACTCTCTCACCTTCACCAGGACAGTGCACCTGGTGACAGATATCCCACTTGGAGCACTACGCCTCCCCTCCCCCCACTGCTCTTATTCTGGGGTCTCTGTGGTCTCTGATAGCAACACGATAGTGAACAGCTCTGAAATCTCACTCTTTCTACTCCTCCCATTCCATTGTCTTCTCCTCCACAAACTGCCGCACTCTTCTGCATTTCTCATGGAGCCTGAAGTGTGTAGATTCTCTGAATTTCTGTTCTGAACTATGTCCCCAGATTTTCCTGCGTCACTCTATGGTGGGATGGGAAATCGTCAGGGAGCCCGCAAAGGGCCACATGATGTCCTCACTGACATCTCAGTGTACATGCAAACAGAACAACCCCTACATTAATATCTGGAACTCAGTTCATTCAGTCTGCTGTGGTGCCTGCAGAGTTTGGGCCCAGGTATCTCTTATATCCAGTCCGTTACTGACACCAGTTTTTGGTAAATGTGGTGCTGGAAGCAGGAAGTAGGGATTGGTTCAATGCTCACTCAAGAGGACAAATGTGGCCCATTGGGAACAGGATCCTGCTGCATGAAGAGCAATGGCGGCAGTGTGGGGAGATCTCTCGTGCTCAGTCAGGTGTGAGACAGCAAATGACCCTGGAGGGTCCTGTCCTGGGTCCTGCAGAAGGGGAGCCCCGGGAGCTGCTCCTGTCTGACAGAAGAACTTGGGGAGGCCCCAGTCACGGGCTGATCACTGGAGAGGAAACCATCTCCTCTAGATTCTGTGATCACTGCAGGGCTCCCCTGGGACCTGCCACTTCCTGGGAAACATTTCACACCCTCCTCAGGATACTCAGTACTTCGGCATATGCATGCCCTACTGGCTACTGGTTCACGTGGGTCTGGTTTGTTCTGCCGGGTGCTGAATTCAATGATAGGAAGACCATAGGACTTTGCACGGAGAGTTGGGTTTGCAGTTCCAGGGGCAGTCTCTAGAATGAAAGAACAGTGATGTCGATGGTGTGTTGGGATGACACCCTTAGGAACCTGAACACTGTCTTCCCCAGCATGATCTCTGGCCATCCAGTGATAGTTCTCTTTGTGAGTTCAAAGTTGACCCCACACTGCATCACCCCACGTGGTACCCTGCACCCCACAGAGAAGTTCATCTAGTGTCTGTGAATCCCAATCACTGTGAGGATTCATCATTTGCCGTCCAGAGTGTTATCACCTCAATCTTGTTCAAGACACTCTTTCGTCTGGTCTCAGATCTGCTGTGTCTTAGAAGCAACAAGAAATTTTTGAGCAGCAGATGGACCAAATGAAGGAATAGAGGACAATCGATGAGAAGTCAGTCAACTTGGACTGTCTCAGCTATTCCATCTGAACACATTCCCAACTGTGCAGCTCAGGGAAAGAGGAAGGAAAGAGTTCAAGGAATTGTCAGGTCTGTGTCATGAAATGGAGGTGGAAAGAGAACAAGTTTTTGAAGAAGAGGAGGGAAAATCCCTTGCCCTAGTCTGAGATGGAAATAGTGGAATACTCTCACACGTGAGGAATTAGAAGGAGAGTGAGCTGGCCTGTCAAATATTCTGTATCATAGAACTAATTTAAGAATCAAGACAAAACTTTTGTTCAATTCTATTTATTCATTGCATTTCTGTGAGCTAATTATAAGAATCTGTCACAGAAAAGAACACCAGTGATTGGTGATAGAAACTGACATCTTGGCAAAGTGTGTGCTGGGGCTCACGTTCAATCCCGGGGCCCACACGACCCAGAGCACCTGCAGGGAAAGTTTTAACAGTTCCAGAGCATTGCTTCCATGGAATGTGGAAGGGGGAGTCATGTCCAGAGTGACAATCAAATACTCTGAGCACTGAATTAGAGTTTCCCCACCCACATACATACCAAAGAACAGTAAATGCATAAAATTTATTTCTATCCAAAAGGTAGTAAAATATCTTGGGATTATAGAACAAAGAAGAAATTTTCTTGCCTCAATTATATCCACAGCTGTGATGTAAAGGAGTCTGTACAATTTCTGAGAGTATATGTGACAGTGTGGTCTGACAGAGCCTGTCCCTGGGGCAGAGAGAGCACACACTGTGTCCTGACTCTCAGAAGACCAGGTACCCACCCTTCTGTGCTCACACTGGGGAGTCTTGGGATCTGGGGAGGAACATGTTCTCTGTGGGCAAAGTTCTGCTTCCCCACAGGGAACTGCACCCCTTACCTTCCTGCAGCTGAGCTGGTCCCCACACACACCCTCTCCCCCTGTCTGCCCAGCCTGCCCAGCCCCCTATCATTTGCAAGTCCTCAGAGCTCATGCCTGGACACGCAATAATAGTCTGTGTAACCCTGCAGGGTCAGTGTCTGTGACACCCAGAGTGGACATGAGGGCCCCTGTGCAGCTCCTCAGCTTCCTGCTGATCTGGCTCCCGGGTAAGGAGGGAAACTAGGGTTTACTGGACCTAGTGCTACCCGTGCTTCAGGCTTCAGGGAAAATAATTTAAAGTACAATGAATGGTGGTGATAATGTGTGTTTCTGTTTTCAACCCAAGGTTCCTGGTGTAATATTCAGATGACCCAGTCTCCATCCGTGTCTGCATCTCTGGAAGAGAAAGTCACCATCACCTGCAAGGCCAGTCAGAATAATTACCATCATTTAGCCTGGTACCAGCAGAAAACAGGGAAAGCTCCCAGGCTCCTGATCTATGGTGCCAGCAATTTAGGACCAGATGTCCCTTCCCGATTCAGTGCCAGTATATCTGGGACAGAATTCATTCTCGCCATCAGCAGCCTGAAGTCTGAGGATGCTGTCACTTATTACTGTCAACGGCATAGTAGTTTCCCTCTCACAGTGATACAGGCCAGAACATAAACCCCCAGAGATCAGCTGTGTGAGGCTGGGTTGGCCCAGCTGCTAGTCCTAGGGTCTCCCTTGCTTAGAGCATCAAATGCAGTTAAGCTGTAATATGATGGAAGTTATGGGACTCATCTAGTCTTTGTGACTCTCTCCCTAATGATGTCATTCTAAATCTCTGATTTTTATGGAGATAATTATTCCTAATTATTTAATTATTCCTAATTAAACAAGGCAGAGTCTCCTACCCTATGCCTGACTGTCTCCACCAGGGCCCAACAGCTGAAGACCACCGAGGCCCAGCCAAGGCCATGCTGGGAGCACTCTCCACACACTTGGATGAGCCTCACGCATGAAAGAACTGACAGAGGAACCCAGGTGTGTGGGACCCGGGGCTGAGATCTCCAAGCCTGCACAGTTTGGGACTGGACCTGCCAGTAACTAGACAGTTACACCCACCAACTGCCGTGTAACTCCAACAACGGCCAGGATCCAGAGATCATCACACTCAGCTCCTGGGAGAACAAGGCAGAGTCTCCTACCCTATGCCTGACTGTCTCCACCAGGGCCCAACAGCTGAAGACCACCGAGGCCCAGCCAAGGCCATGCTGGGAGCACTCTCCACACACTTGGATGAGCCTCACGCATAAAAGAACTGACAGAGGAACCCAGGTGTGTGGGACCCGGGGCTGAGATCTCTAAGCCTGCACAGTTTGGGACTAGACCTGCCAGTAACTAGACAGTTACACCCACCAACTGCCGTGTAACTCCAACAACGGCCAGGATCCAGAGATTATCACACTCATCTTATCATCTCATTCCTAATTTGGTCAAACTGGCAGGCTACCAAATGTAACATGCCCACACGGCAGAGTCTGGCAAACTCCCCGTGGTGTACCCAATATGCCAAATACCAGTAACAATGATGGGTCTCTTTCTCCTAACCCTGAAAAAGCCTTGAATATGGCACTTTAAAAAAAAAATCTCAGGGCTAGGACGAAGAAGACGTTACTGGCACCTGCTCGAGGCAATCGACGAACAACAGGGTGGTCGTGATCGTGATCGTGAATTATTCCTAAAGAACGTGGGTGCAATGTCACTCTGAGTTCCTATGTGAGGTAAATGACATTCTAGAAACTCCACCAATCATTGTTTTAATAGGTATTTAATATAATAAACACATTATCACCCCAAAGTTTTGTGATAGGTACACACCTACAGACTTACACCAAGTACACCACAGAGGGTGCCTGGTCGCCCTGCCTAGGAACCTTCTCCTGTAATCCAGAGGGAGAAACAGCATGTTGCCAGAGCTCAGCAACTGCAGACTTGGGCAGCCACTTAGATCTGCTCCCGTGACTGTGGAAATCTGGGCCATAACTGTTGCTGAAAAAAACACATTAGATCCACTGGAGCTTGGCGTTTTGTATTCATTACCATTTGAATGTGAAGTGAAGTTTAGATTTAGTATCTGACAATGAAAGTTTGAGAGACATTGAAGGCAAAAGAGATATCATGGGAAAGAGAAAAATTTCATCTCCACAGGTTAGCCCAACATCTTATTGTCTGTCCCCCACAAGGAATATACAATTGATCACAGTGACTGTGCTTCCTGCTTCTAAGAATCTTGAAATTCTCAGAGTCAATATAAGTGTCTGAAAATCATTAGTATCTTCAGCACTGCCTTTTCCAAAATAACACCATGACTTCTCCTGGCATCATAACACCTGGAGAATACCGATGTGTGACTGAAAGCTCTTCTAAACTCTTGGTCACCTGTCTGTCTAGAACTCAAAGTCAGGAGGACTCCTCAGTGGTGATTCCACTTTGGTTCTCGGACCTGGTCTGGTCTATTCTGGAGGGAGGAATTAGACTGCATTAGCCAGGTTAGAATAATCCCCTAGGTAGAATGGTTCTTGTCTTAGATTGTATAATTGGGCATACAATATATACACCCAATGGCAGCATAGGTGTCCCTTGAAATGGAGAAAAACAAATAGTAGAGGGCCTTGAACTGTACAGGGCATTAGAGGCAATAGCATAATCATAAAATGTCCAGACTATGTACTGTAAGGTACCTGCTGATTGTGTTTGTGAGATACCCCAGTCTCAGCTCTTCACACACCCACTGAATGTGGATGTGCTCACTAACTGTCCTCAATGTCCCTGCCAACTGAAACAATGGCTCACCTGCTGGGACCCTGGGTGGTGGAGTGACTTTGCATTGAATAAATTGAAAAAGCTTGGACAGTTCTTGTATGTATGTTTGTCTCCTTGTGTGTCTCTTGACTTCTTTTTGTCAGGGACCACCGACGGACAAAGATTGAAGGTGCCAATCCAATTGGCTTTAGTGCGGTAAATTTCCACGTAGTCTAGCTTGGTGACAAACTTTACATTGTGTCTTCCAAACACTTGGCAAAAGTTTCTCTGGATGCCCCTGGATCACAGGGACCATCAGGACCTGAAACCTATTGAGTTGCTTTATGACACCACTAGAGGGCAGACAGACATGATAATTGACAAAAGGGGGATGCTGTATCTTAGAAAAACAGAGTAACAGGTCAGCTGTCAGAAGAAATGGGTGTTCTATGGAAGTGGTGGAAAAGTTTAAAAGCTGTTAAAGTCTGAATTTCATCGTTATTTTCACCATTATCTGCCTTTGGGAGAAAAGTGCTTTTGTCATGTTGGTGAGAAATTTACACTAGAGAAGGGTTGACTGTTGAACCATTCCATGACTAAAACCCAATCATGAAGAATTTTGTAATTGTGTATCTCACGGTGATTCAATAAATAAATAAACAAATAAAAGTCACAGAAGTTCTGTCCTGTCTGTATTCTGTGGACTTTTCTGATCCCCTATTTATTGCTCATAATTGGAGATATATCTGTAGAGTCACTTATGTAAAATGAGGTCACACAGAGGGATTAGGTGAAAGTATAGAATCAATAGGAAAACTCCTCTGTCGCCACATCACCCACTGAGGAATGACTTGTTGGACAAAAGGAGAAAGGGGCTCCTGCTGACAGAAGGATGATGTCACCGGAATTGACCTTATTGGACATTGGACTTCACTCTCCAGCCTCCCAGAATGTGAGAATCCCATGTGTGGGGGTGTGAGCCCACAGCCTGCACATTCCCGTGAGGGAGCCTGAGTTCCTGTTTCACCCCTGGACCTTGGAGCAGGGTCTGCCTCAGGGGCACATCACGGTAGAGGGGGGAGAAAGGATGAGGGGGGAAAGGGGCTTTGCTATTTTCTTCATCTTCACCACTTGCTTTTCTGATTGCTCAGAAAAAGAGCCTTAGTATTCATTCGTGGTTTATTGACTAAAACACCAACATGTCCTTAAATATAAATCTGTTGAATATTTTGTTTTCCTATTAGAAAATGCATCTGGATTCACCAGCCATGATCTAGAGACTCATGATAAAGTTCTTTTTTTTTCCTTTTCTTTTTTTAGTGTAGGAGTATTGCTATTTATTCAGTCATTGATTATGTGGATTGAACTGGGCATGAACTACATGTCACTTTTTTTTCTTTTCTAAATTTTTTTTTATTGAATCACAAAGCTTTTGGGTTTAAGGTCTCGGTCATACAATGATGAAACACCCATCCCTTCACCAGTGTCCATTTTCTACCACCCAAAACCCTAGTATCTCCCCAATCCCAAACCCTCCCCCTACCTGTGGGGCAGATGACTCTACATTACTCTCTCTCTACTTTGACGACATTAGATATTTTGACACCAGACCCACCATTATTACCTGAGATTTTACCCCAACACACAGACCTGCCAAAAAGGCAACAGAACATAATTTGTTTTCTATTGTTGACCATGAATAGCATATGATGTCTCGCGGCCACAGTAGTGGTCATGCGATTTTGGAATTCCAAAATTCTAACAACTGAATCTGGAAGGATTTCTGCCAAAACCTGCTGGGTTCCGAGATTTGTTCCTGAGTCTCTGCGATCATGACCATTAGGCTGTTTGATCAGGAACTAGAGAGGCCGTTTGTGGCAGGGACTTGGGGTCTCTGGGGCAGGGAGGAAAGGACTGGCTCCTCCCCATCCCATGAGGCCCCGCGTGTGTCGTCACTGTGGGCCCAAACCTGACTGAACATTGTCCTCTGGAGGATGGTATCCACCGAGTCAACAGTTGAGAACAGGCCCAGGCATGAAACCTATTCCCACCTGAGGTGGCCCGATGCCAGTGACATACTGCAGGGACTGAATGCATTTCTGCCAAAAGCCGCTGGGTTCCAAGATCTGTTTCTGAGTGATATTGATGGGGTGGTGGGACGGCACAATTAGCAACCTGGATGCTGACTTCCCCAACATGGATCTCTGCCCCAGACCTGAGTGACTCTTCGTGAGTGAGTTCTATCTTCACCCCACGCTGACTGTCTCACCCCAGGTGGCACCCGGTATCTCACACAGGTCTTTGTTTAGTGTCTGTGAATCCCGTATGCTATAAGGAGGCGTCATTCACTGTTCCTCAATCTTCTCAAGACACTAACACTTTCATCTGGTGTCTGAGAGCTCTTATGTCTTTGGACAAACAGCTGGATTTCAAGCAAGGGATCGACCTGTGATGAGACAGAGAATATTCAATAAAGTGTCTATCAGATATTCTTTATCTTAGCACTCATTTATGACTCAAGATCTCAAATGTTTGTACAATCCTTTTCACTCATTGAATTCCTATCTGCTAATAATAACAATTTCTCACATAAAATAATATAGTGCTTGGTGAGGGAGACTGACCCATCAGGAGGCATGAGCTGGGGTCCACATGTGAGCACAGGACCATCATGAGCCAGAGCACCTGCGAAAAAAGTCCTGACAGGTCCAGCACTGCAGCATCACACTAGCCTTGCGTCCTTGGTACCCAGCATTGAACTGCTCATCCCGCTAGCTACGTAATGTTAGAGTGACCGTCAGGTTCTCTGAGCACTGACAGAGGCCCCTCCAACCCCCGCCCATCAAATAGGAAAACACAAAATTTTAATCCTCTACAAA